CTTGCTCACTCTCAACCTGCAAATTACCTGGACCTCCACTAACTCCTCTGTCCCCTTCTGCAGTTAACCCACTCGTGACCAGTCCTGGATCTGATCATTCTGTGTGTTTTTCAGAACCCACTCATGACCAGACAAGTTCCCCCCTGGATCTGTTAATTTATTGTGCTCAAACACGTCAATAAACCTTTGAACTTTTCTCCTGCCTCTGAGTGTTCTGCATGTGGGTTAGACACCTTAAGCCATCGGCGCATCACTAGTTTTAACCCTAATAAATAAATAGATAGATAAATAGCTTATGATAAAACAGCTAAACTATAGTGGAAGGTGATAAGGTAAATAAAATATTAAAAATCTCTAATCAGGATGCTCAAGCAAGTTAAAAGGTTAGATTCTGCTCTTAAGAAAGAGTGTAAATGCATCTTTAGTTTACTTAGTTTACTTTTACTTACTGTTTTTTAAATGTAACATGTAACCTTTTACAGGAAACATATCAATAATAAGAGCATTTTTCTTCGGTAAAGACAGTTTTAATAGTCATTTAGAATGTTTTTAGAGCATAAACAGTAGTGTATAGGATTTCCTAAAAGCGCGTTCACGAGTGTACGGAAACCGCGGCAGACCAAACCAGATTAAAGTGCGCATTCAGCGTCTGCTCTGCCGATAATGCAAGCGTAGAAGAAGAAATGTGCTGTTTACCTGTGCAAAGAAAGAAACAACGAAAGAAAAATGTCTGAGGACTTCAGTGTTGAGGAAGAGCATGAGTTCTTTGTACGCGGTTTCCGTAGTTGATAAATCTTTTTAAACAGAGAGAAGCAGGGGGAGCTGCAGATTTAAAGCGGAAACAGATTTACTGGGAAATGCAACATGCTCTATAACTATCTATAAATTGTTTGATTCGGTGGAGGCCGGACAGGGTTTACCCAGAATGCGGTTGTTACTTGCACGGGGCGTAGTGGAGATAAATCCCTTACTCAGTGTGAAGCTCAAATGATCTCTTGAGGGAAAGTGGATTCAAAACTCCAGTTTGAATCCTCAACTCAGTTTGAAGCTCAGTTGATCCTTCCAGGGAGAGAAGGTCCGAAACATCCAGTTTGCAGGATGACTTCCTGCCGAGAGGCAAAGACAAAAAAAACAAGATTAAAACTCGGTTTGACACAGCAAAACTCAGCTTGGCTAGAGTACCTGAAACTGGCAAAACAAAAACTCAGGTTAGACTTTGCTAATCTAAGCATGGCTAGATTACCCCAAACTGGCAAACACTCTGGCCTTGAGGCAGTGGCAGTCAGCATAAGGTAACTCACAGCAGGTGTGTAGAGAGGCGGACCAGAACCAGGCGCCACCTGGTGGAGGAAGGGAGACAAAGACAGAAAAAACAGAAACAAAGTGAAAATCAGCTTTTTTGTACATTAATCTAAAGTTTTACCCTTTACATTAAAATACATGCTACACTTAGGGAGAAGCAAAATAAGCTTTAAAATGCAGTTTTTTTAAGCTGTTTATATATTATTTAAATGGGTCCAAGATTAAATCCAAGTTAATTTTGGACAAGTTCATCCTTTCAGT